TGTTAGGATTTTGGCTCGTCAAATATGTCCTAGTTGGTTTAGGATTGTTTTAGGAAAATTAGAGGTATACCAATTCTTGTCCTAGAGGGATTAGGAAAGAATTTCAGTTTTCCTTATTCAATTCAGGTTTGGATTTCTAGAAGTTTATTAGGATTTGGATAAGTGTAATTTCCTAATCTACTTAGGAATAGGAATCCAATCAGCCTTGGGACATGTAAGCCAACTTTATATCTATAAATAGGGTGTGGCAAGGCTTATTTTAAAGAGAGGAAAAACAGCCAGAGAAAGCCAAGAGTTTTGAGATTAGTTCTAGGGTTGCAAAAGTTCTGTAATCTATATTATTAATCAAAGGAGCGGTGATTTCTCTACCTAGAGAAATCACAACTGGACGTAGGCAAAAGTTCTGCCGAACCAATATAATTCTTGTGTGTTTCTAAGTGTTTTAATATTTGCTAGTTTAGTCTATTGCCGTCGGTTACATCAAAGAACAAGATCTAGAAGGCGAGTTATTTAACAATAGCGTAGTAAGTATGGCTATCATTTTTGCAGTGGTACTTAAGATCTTTGTGGAGTGGGGTGTTGCATTTGAAGAGGGTCAAATTGTGTGTGAATAATTCATCAAAGATTGGAGAAGGTCTGGGAAGACTCCAATCTTCGAAAACTTGATCATTGCAGGGATCTCTTTCCAGTGATGGAAGGACAGTGAGAAGATAGAAAACAAACAGACAATGGCGGAGGGACGGACCCACAGTGGGGTCAATGGGGTCAAACGACCCTATGGACTCCATGGAAATAAGCTTGAATGTCCCCTTAAACTGACTATGCGACCCCATGGATGCCCTCCACTTGCTTGTTGTTTGGCCTGAACGAAATGGTTGCTGCATGAGCAAGAAGAAGAAGAAGAAGCGCTGTGCTTCTTTTTAAAAAAAAAAAACGATGGCAAAACGACGTCGTTTTGGCCCAGCGAGTTTTTTTTAAAATGAACTTGCCAAAATGATGTCGTTTTAGCCTAGAGAATCTATTCTAAAACCCTTCCACCCATCCCAGCAACTCCCAAAACCCCAATTCTTTTGTCCTCAACCCTAAATCTCCAATCTTCCACCCCCCCAAAAAAAACCTTTAACCCCCATCTCCTCCATTGTTGCCGCCACATCCACCACCTCATAATTCAAGTAAATTCTAACTCTAAGCCTAAATTAATAGAATTGAAATTATGATTTTATTATTTTGTTTTGATTTATTGGATGTTTCATTTATGAATTTTTTGTAGTTAATTGGTATAAATTTGGTGTTTTCTTTAATTGATGTGAGTTATTACTTCGAAACAAAATGGGAGATCAATAGTTGAGTGATAATTTGCTTGTTTACTTTGAGAATGATGTTTTTGCTTGTATTAAAAATGAAGCTATAATGCTACATTTTCAAAATATGAAACCTCGTTGTGGACAATTGTAGCTTGTAATGTTGTTTTTTTTAAATGTGAATTATGAATGAACATTTCATTTCTAATGTTATTTTGATCGAAAAAAAATTTCAAACTTTTACACTATGACCCTATGAGGTAAGATTTCTGGGTCCATCAGGATTTCATATTAGAGGGGCCTTCACATTTGAATAAGAGGGTTAAAGCGCTAATTGCTTAATAAGTTAATTCAACACTAACTACTCATTTTGGCCCACTTCATAGTATCATTTGATATAAATTAATAATATATAAATTTGTTACAATCATAATTGTAATGAATTATTTATTTATTTTTAGAAACATGAATTTCATATTTTAAATTCGTCTACACTATTTAAAAATTTATATTCCAACATAAAGAAGAATAAAAAAAAAAGTTTCATAAATCCTAACACTAAGGTACCCAACTCAATGCACTCATACATGAAAAAATGACGGAAATAAAAAATTCATAAAGCTTAAGTTAAACAAAAGATAAAAAGAAAGAAACATTATAAATTTAGGAGTTTTAGTGTAAATATCATGAACTAACCTTAACAATTTAAGGGAAATAAGTAGATGAGAGATCAAGAAGTTTTATGGTTAATTTGTAGACAATAAAAACCTAATATATTATTTATTTTAGGATAAATATCCAAAACCTAGTCTAATATATTACAATATTACATATCATATATATTATATATATATATATATATATATATATATATTTGGAAAAAATGGAGTGGGGGCTGGTCCCTTACAGTTCGTTTGGATGAGGAAATTTCAAAGTACAAGGGATTTCATAAATTATGGAATTTAAAATGACAGAAATTAATATTATAGAATTTGTAAAGTTTATTGTTTGGGTGACGGATTTAAAACACTGAATTTAACCTTTATTTATAAAATTATCTTTTTTAAAAACTCAATCTCTTTTGGGATTTTAGAAATGACGACTTTTAGATAGAATTTAAAATTGGGATTTATGATATCTAAATTCTATGTTTTTTCCCACGCGGAATTTCTAAATTTCTATGTTATTTTATCCAAACACGAGAATTGGTTCATGTCAATTTAGAAATTCTGACTTTTGTCAAAATTCCAAATTTATTTCCCTCATTCAAATGCACCGTTAATGAATCCGCCACTGCAAACAGAGCACCATCACCACACATTCTGTGTTAACAACAATAGCAACTTGGGTACCATTCTTTCTTCACCAGATGTTTCATCAAGACTCGTAGTAAACACGCACACGCCAGTTGACTTGGAAATTCCACACGCAAGTCTTCTACTTGACTCGGAAAATTGGATATACAACAAGACTCTCGTTTATTATTTGTTTACTTTTCTTTCAGTGACGACTATTGCATTTCCAATAAATTACTCGGCAACGGATACAACCTCATTTTCATACATGCACACCGATACAAGTTTACAACCCCAACAAAAAGAAACCAAACGCACTACAGTTTACACTTACAGGAGATTCGATATTATGCAAGTATGAAAAGAGCTCTTTTATTTGTTTACTTTTGTTTTTAGTGAAAAGACTTTTGCATTCAACGCGCTTTGCAAAAGACATTTTACTCCGCGTTTGATTTATGAATACCAAATTATTCTAAGAAATAATTTCCCCACAATATCTACAAAAAGAAACAGAAGAGTTTTCTTATCAAATTCTACCCCTCCCTGCAAATCTATATTTTTTGTTTTTTGTTTTATGGTATATAATCTTCACATCATCTAAGATAAAGGCTTGCACTCATTTATTTTGATTGGGCTACTTGTAAGACTGTATTGGGCTTGGGACTGGTCCTTAAACTTGCTCATACTTGGCCCAATTATATTGTAGGCATTGCTCCTACCCTATGAGCAAGACTAATAAAATAGTCCACATGTTGGATCCACACCTGACAAAAGTTCATAATCATACAGTTCTCTGCAGTCTTGTTCATTATTCAGAAACATGTAAGTGTTCATGTAAAATACAGGGCACGGTCTATTCTATTGATACCAATGTAACAGTAGAAGAATCTGCTACCGGTTTTGGTGGGGAAGACAAGTAAGGCTTGGGTGGTATCTGCAAGCAATCAACGCTGCCTTCCAACATATCTATCACTTGTTTCATCGCTGGCCTGTTTGAAGGGTCTGTTTGTATGCACCACAAGCTCACTATTATCATCTTCCTTGCTCTTACTTTGTCTTCCTCCTCCATTATGCTCGGCAGACCAAGTTCTTCATCAAGTTCCAGACGCTTGTAAATCCAGTGTGGAAAATATATTTCACTTGTATCTTCAGCTTCGGCATTGATGTTCCTTCTTCCACCAACCATCTCCGAAAGCATCATCCCGTAGCTATATACATCTGACTTGTGTGAGACCGCTCCAAAATTCCTACAGAATACTTCTGGAGCAATGTAGCCAGCAGTGCCTCTTGCACACGCCATTGACACAATGCTCTCTTTCATGTTGCATATCTTAGCAAGGCCAAAATCAGAGACTTTTGGTGTGAAATTTTCATCAAGAAGAATGTTATGAGGCTTGATGTCAAAATGCAGAATTCTTGTGTTGCAACCGCGATGTAAATACTCCAACCCTCGAGCAATGCCTAGTGCAATTCGATCCAGTGCTTCCCATCCCAAGTGATGATTTTTGTTCGGGGTATTTGCATCAAATATGAACTTCTCAAGTGATCCATTAGGCATGAATTCATAGATGAGAGCTCTTTTTGAACCCTCAAAACAAAAGCCCCACAAGGAGACAATGTTGACATGGGAAGTTCTGCTAATGGCTGCCACCTCATTCATAAATTCTTCTCCATTACCTTTTAATTTGTTCAAGACCTTCACCGCTACAAGACTGCCGTCATTTGATTTTCCCTTGTATACACTACCGTAGCCCCCTTGCCCTAATTTTTCTTCGAAGGAATTGGTCATTTTCTTGACCTCCAAATAGCTATATCTTCTAACTTGAAGTGGCCCATAGCTCCTTAGAAAGGCCTCAACAATTTGACGATCTTGGTCTGAATTTGTGTGGGGCTGAGAAGAAATGTTCCTTGAGAGGAAGTTTGATGCAGCGCGTTTTTGTTTGTAATGCCACAGAAGAAACAAGCATACTGCAATAAGTACTGGACATCCAATACCTGAAGTATGCAAGTGAGAGAGGTCAACTTTTAACCAAAGGACTGCATTGAGTCAAATTATAAAACAGTTACAGAGCAGTTTATACCAGCGGTTGCTTAAAAGAGAGTTAAATTTGATCAAGGGTATCTTTTACAGAGCATTCAATTTACTCCCCCACCGTGTTTAAGCACATAGTGCGAAACTTGGGAAGGAGGCATTAATGAACGGTGTACACTGCAAGAAATATGGTAATATTCAAAGCTTGTTCATTTCATGTATCCTTAGAAAAGTAATCCTCTGTTGAGAGGCACTTGGGACTGATTTGATTTCCTTTCTGGGTTATAATAGTTGTCCTAGATGATCATCCATATGAATTAGATATTTAACTTCAGAGATATCAATCTTACCTAGTCCTAGCTTCAATCCCAATTTATCTCCTGCAACATAAATTGCAAAATGAAAATTTTGTTAGCTGAAGCAAAGAAGATTGAAGTGGCATATATATAATTGGCATTCAACAAAAACAAGATGGTGCATAACGATCATTTAAAAACTCATATGTACTTGCGTGTGTGTGTGTTTGTACCGAATACAAAGTATTTTCAACAGACTCTTTCCTTTTTTTGGGAGTTGTATCCTTGGAAGAAAGGAAATGGATAAATAACGAAGGACATCTAATTTGATGTACATCTATTCCGATGTATATACCTTTTTCTCCAACGGAACATTGAAATTTTCCCTTGTTGTCAACAAGGCATGTTCCGTTTCTAAAATAACATCGTTCACATTCCTCGCTTACTCGCAGTCGAAGCTGGAACTCAGTAAGTGAAGGGGTATATTGATTTGGATCGAATGGGATCTGAATGATTGTACACAATGGTAGGTGACTTACTAAACTATCATCAGACGAACTATTATTGTAGTAAGTATGCTTATCATTTTTGCAGTGGCTTTTAAGAACTGTATTGGGGAGGTGGGTATTGTTGCATTTGAAGAGGGTCAGGTTGTATGCGAATATTTCATCAAAGATTGGAGAAGGGCTGGGAAGACTCAAATTGTCGAAAATTTGATCATCGCATAAACTGTGTTCCAAGCGCTGCTGGAGCTCTCTGTCATTGATAAAAATCGTATTTGTTTCAGAGATGCTCTCCAATTCATGCCAGTATCCTTTCTCTTTCAGTTGGATCCTCGGATTATCTTGATCAGAACAATCAACTGTGAACAACCCGCCGCATTCAGGAGGATGCGTCTGACTTTTGAAGGGGAACTGGATCATGCGTACCTTTTCATTACAGTATTCGGGATGACAGTGTTTGTTGATTTTCAACTCCTCGGTAGAGTGAAGAACCACGAGATGAGTGAGAAGAGAGAAAATAAACAAAGCCACGGGAGCCATCGAGAAATTCCCAGCTGAACTGAAGAGCCAGAACTAAAGCACCACGGAAAAAGAAAAACAAAAGGATCTACTTCTCAAGTTCAGAACAAGACTGCTGAATTGTTTACTTCCATTCTTGCTTCACAATATATTAAGTTCATTCTGTGTTTAACACGCTAGTTGACTTGGAAATTGGAAGGGGAAGACTCGTACAACTAGGTTGAAACAAGTGCTTGATAAACACACTGTTGATTGGTTGGCTTAAAGACGAGACTCCCATGAGGGAGTTTCCTTCTCATCTTCCCCATTGACCAGCACTCGAAAGAAAGACTTGACCCCTTAACTCATTTCTACTTGCGGGCGTTTGTGTGTTTGTACCGACTACAAAGTATGTTCAACAGACTGTTTCCTTTTTTTGGGAGTTGTATCCTTGGAAGAAAGGAAATGGATAAATAACGAAGGATCATGTAAATGTGGCAAGCATCTTCCGATGTATATACCTTTTTTTCCCACGGAACATTTAAGTTTTTCCTTGTCATCAAGGCGGCACTCGCCTTTTCCATCATAACATCGATAACATGCTTCGCTTACTTTCAGGTGAAGGGAGAACTTAGTACCCAATGAAGGGAGACTTGGGGGAGGAGGTTGATTTGTATCTAATGGGATCTGAATGATTGGACACGATGGTGGGTGACTTACTAAACTATCATCAGACGAAATATTATCGTAGTAAGTATGCTTATCATTTTTGCAGTGGCTTTTAAGAACTGTATTGGGGAGGTGGGTATTGTTGCATTTGAAGAGGGTCAGGTTGTATGCGACTATTTCATCAAAGATTGCAGAAGGGCTGGGAAGACTCAAATCGTCGAAAATTTGATCATCGCAGGAATTGCGTTCCAAGCGCTGCTGGAGCTCTCTGTCATTGATAAAATAGTAAATTTGGCTTACACCCTTCAAATTCAATTTGCAGTACTTAAAACCCTTCACTTTTTGTTCCTATAAATAATACCCAATTTGTATAAGTAAAAACTCATGACTAGAATCTAACTCAGCAAGTTACCTAATTAAGCATAAAATCTGATTTATTGTACTTTTCCGATTCCAAAAATATCCCCAACTGAGCCATTATTGCATTTTGTATATTAATGTAGGAATCAATATGGAAATAGTTTTTAATTGGATTGTATATAATGACAGATATTGAATTTGGAAAGATCTCCAAATGGTTGTAATGGATGTAAGAATTAATTTTGAAACATTTTAAAAAAATTTAACAATAAATTCAAATTTGGGTAATCGGTTTGTTTAATAAAATGTTTATGTTATTTTCTTTTTATGAATTATAAATGACTAATAATCCACTTTATAATTGTTTATGAATAAAACTGTACATACTGATTATGTTGAAAAAATAATGTACCTATTACTTGTTTGTTTTATGAAAAATATAATTTACCTAGTATGAAAAGTGTACATAATTATCTATTCCAATATACCTACATTATACGACATCCAATATACCTACATTAATTTTAATGTACTTACAATTAGGATTTAGGTATTATATGTCATCCAATGTACCTACCATTTGAATAATATACCTACTACGAATAAAGTACCTATTATTTATCTAATTAATGTACCTATTTTTTTCTATAAATAATATAGCCTTTTTTCTCTGAATAAAGTACCTATTATTTGTTTTATTAAAAGCAATTTTTTTAAATGAACCTATTTTCTCTCTCCAAATAACGTACCTATTTTTTCCTCTAATAATGTACCTATTTTTCCTCTCCAAATAATGTACCTATACACATTTACAGGTATATTGTAAAATAATTTACCTGTTGGTAAATAATGTACCTATATTTTATATAAATTATTGTGTACCTATTTTTAATTATGAAAAATATACGCAATTACAAAATAACTGACTTTGTTTTTTTTTTTTTGGTAAATAATATACCTATATTTTATATGTATATATTTATATTATATTTTTCATAGGTACATTATTGGATATGTAATTTACAGATTTTTTTTTTTGTTTGCAATTTTAGGGGGCGAGATGTGAGAGGGAATGACAACTAAAAGAAATGGGGTGATTGATATGCTATTAATAGGGAGTATATTAATTACAATTATGGCAGTTAATGAAATGCTTGAAATAAAATTATAAATAAAATATGAAGTTTAGTGGCAACGATGTAAAAACATAGAAATACTACGACCTCTTATATCCTACTGGTCATTTAAATTTGAAATTGGGTTTTACACATAGATTTATAGAGTGATGGGTATATGTCTAGGAAATAGAAAATGTAGGGGTCTATATTGGACAAGCTCTTGATAAAAATCGTATTTGTTCGAGAGATGCTCTCAAGTTCATGCCAGTATCCTTTCTCTTTCAGTTGGATCCTCGGATTATCTTGATGAGAACAATCAACCGTGAATAACCCGCCGCATTCAGGAGGATGCGTCTGACTTTTGAAGGGGAACTGGATCATACCTACGTTTTCATTACAGTATTCGGGATGACAGTGTTTGTTGATTTTCAACTCTTCAGTAGAGTGAACCACCACGAGACGAGTGAGAAGAGAGAAAATAAACAGAGCGTCACCACCGCCACCCATTCTGTGTTAACAACAATAGCAACTTGGATACCGTTCTTCCTTCACCATATATTTCATCAGGACTTGTAATAAACACGCCAGTTGACTTGGAAATTCCGCATTCAAGTCTTCAACTTGATTCGGAAAATTGGATATACAACAAGAATCTCATTTATTATTTGTTTACTTTTCTTTCAGTAAAGACTAATGCATTTCCAATAAATTACTCGGCGTTTGGTTACTAGCAGAGAATTGACAGCATTTGCATACATGCAGACACCGATACAACCCAACAAAAAGAAACCAAACGCATTAAAGTTGACAGGAGATTCTATATGCAAGACTCGGAAATTTTCAAGACGCTCTTTTATTTGTTTACTTTTGCTTTAGTGAAAAGACATTCAGCGCGCTTTGAAAAAGACATATTACTCCGCGTTTGTTACTAACAGAGAATTCACATCATTTTATTTTATGAACTGGGGGTGTTAAAACCCCAAGGACACACAGCAACTACTTACTACAGGAATTCACATCATTTTCACACATGCACCGATACAACCTAAAACCAAACGAGGTTACCTTGCTCAGTTCCCAAAACTCATTTCATATTATTTATCAAATTTACATATACATTTCATGCGTCATTCAAGTAAGATTCAAACAATATTGGTTGGGCCTACGAAAATGGATTACAAAAAATGGGAATGAAGGGTTAAAAGAATGGTGGCGAAACAATATCAAACAAGTTACGCTACTTTGACTCCGCTCGGGCGTTTTCCTTCCATGGCGTCCTTCTTGTTACAACAATCAGAACAAAGGAAAGGCCCTTGCCAAGGCTTTGAACTGGTGGAGAAGATAGAGCCAGCATGAACAGATATGCCCTCACTCGGTGCAAGGTCAACTTGGCATACAGCACACATAAACAGCCCAGATGTTGTTGATTGTGCTGTGCACTCATCACTGCCCAGCCTGCAACACATTTTATATGATCAATAATCTCTATTTCAAAGGTAACCAAAGCCATGATAAGAAGCTCCACTTTGATCTGCTATACAAGTGTAATAAAACGTCATAAAATGTGAAATGACAATACTTAAATCAGTGGCATTGTCGAAGAAATTTCTTTTTACAATTAGTAGACAACTATAAGAAACTAACCTTTCAGCAAGCATGGCAGAACCTTCTTCGAATAATTCCTCCACAATACCCACAGCTGATAGCTTCTTGGATAGTTTATTAGCAGAATCGCGTGACTTCTTCCTGAAAAACAGCGTCCTCAGCTTGTTCTGCTTTTTGGGTGGAGTTGAAGGCTGTAGTGAATGATCAGGAGGAATTATGTCAACCACAATGCAGGTTGTATCATCCTTTAGACCCCTTGACCTTAAGGCTTCCTACAGAACAATCCATCAAATGCAATAAGAAAAAGTTCTTGTCAATGCATACTGCAAGAAAAAGGCACAGGTAGTTCAAACGACCTTCACAACTTGTCTACCATTTCTGAGGATAGAGCATCCCAGATGCCATCAGAAGCAATTATAAGCCTCCCACCAGCATTTGATAGCTTTTAAACCAATATAAGAATAATGTTAGCTTTCTTGCTAAAGAAGACTTGGCAGTCAATTGAATAAAACCAAGCTTAAAATTTAAGTTCCAAAAGGAGACAGATACCTTGACTTGTTTCACATATGGTATCGGAACTATAAACTCCCCAACGTCCATGTCTCCAATTGACCTAGAAAGGCATAAACCCCCTGGCCAACAACGAAGGGGACCAATCTGTAGATGTCAAACAACATATATTACACAATGAAAAATGAATAACAATGTTTTAACAGAAAAAGTATCTCTTTCTGTCAGCAAAAACAATCTGTAAGGTCTAGATGCCCTCACCTCTGCACCGCCAATAATGCTCAACCTTCCAACTTCCCCACCACTTGCAGCAACACGCTCCCTCCTAAGATTACAAACCGAATACTCAATTAGTAAATCCAGAGAACAGTAACAAGAAAGGAGGTTTATTGAAACTTAGCAGAGACATACTCCTCTACATTCTCTTCAAGTCTATGATCAACAGTTAAGGTGCAAACAGCACCACCCTGAGTATCTAAGATACAACGGGAGTCTCCTACAGATGCCACTGTTACAGTCCATCCATCAACTATTACAAAGGTAGCTGTTGTACCAGAAGTTTCTCCTGCAGACAATATTAAGAGTGAAAATAATCAGGGCCTGTTTGGGTGCTTCAAGATATGAGAAAAAACGAAAGAGAAGAACAAAGGCTAAACAAGTTGCAAATTCCATGCCTCTACTCTGGAAATCCTTATCAGTCTTCACAAACCCAGCAACCAAGGCCCGAGGTAAAGCTTGGAGCCACTCCTCCCTTCCTAGCCCACGGGGAATAGCACCCAATACATGTTTTAACAAATTCTCCCTTGTATATACTGCTGCTGCATTTCCGTTGTGCCCATCAAAGATCTGGCAGTTGATAAAAAAGCAGTGACTATCATATTTGATTACCAATATATTGATGGTTAAACAAAACTGGTTTGAGCACACTGCTTCACCCCATAATCTATAAACAATAGTACAAATACAAGAAACTCTCCAAACATATCTCGTTTACTGTCTGCGTCGGAACAGATAAACCCAATACAGTTCGGAATGAAAACTTACAGTGAACAAGTCAGGAGGAAGCAAATGGCAGAGCTTAGAGCTGAGCATTGATATATAACATTTAACACACCAAGTTTATACATATTGGGCATACCCCATGCACAACACTACAACAGAGCTGAGCTACAACAGAATCTAGTGGAAATATAAAAGAGACTAGATTACCGCAAATGCAGAAAATGTTGATGAAGAATTTCCAGGGACTCGCTGACCATCAGTCTTGATCAGAAAATAATCCTCCCCTTTCCTGGATTGAGCTGCATGCCCATATCTGACAGTAGGCTTCTCCATCTTCTCACTCTTCAGCTCTCTGCTGATCAGTGCAGCCAGCGGCACCAGATTATGATGGTGACGCCTCCCTTCTCCAGACGCCATAACTACCTCACCACTGTCTTTGCCAGAGGCCCAAGACCTTCAAACTATCAAACTTTTTGCCTCAAAAGCATACTAATGCTAAGCACCTAAATAATCCTACAAATTTTTATAATCAGTGGCCTCTCTGAGTATCACAAGTGCAATTAGCACAAACCCCCAATTATAACATAGAAAAATCGAACACTTCGCCAGCAACTCACAGCTGATCTGCATTTATCATTGGCAAAACAAAGAACAAGGTTACACTATGTCCTCAAAACACCTATGCATCCATAACATTCAACAAATTGATTATATAGGCATACCCTCTGTTAGTTACGAATATATGTAAGAAAAATACATAAGGAAATGCCTCATCTTGCATATTCCATTATTTGGCAACCAAAATTTTGAACACCAAACGCCAAACATAGAGATTCAACTTTCTATAAGATGCCACTGTTAAGCATGAATTCAGCTTACCCAGAAAAGAAAATTCCTAATTTTCGTGTTATTCTTCTTAGTTTTGCTGTGTCCTTTTCGTTTCTTCTCAGGAACCGAACAGAGAAGCAAAGATTCCAACAAACAAGGAAGAGATAATGTGCAATACCCGCGAGAATGTCAGAGCGCAAAGCCAAACGCAGATCCGATTGCGACAGTAATAAGCAAGAACAAAGACAACAAAGAAGCAGAAGAAAGCACATAAGAAATCAACACGGAGAAGTAACGCGTTTTGGTGACAAGGTATGAACTGTAAAACCCAATAATCAACGCCCAAATCCTTAATCTTTTAATTAAAAAAGCCTTTGAATTCCTCGAGTCAGCTTCTCGACCTTTTCCTCCACCAAACACCCACAATTAAAAAAGGAAGAGAAAAGAAATCAGAGACCCAGAGACTAGTCTGGGTAGAGAGCTTTAAAATCCAAAGCTTTCTTCTGGGTTAAAAAGAAATGGCAACGAAAATCGGTGGCAAAAAGCTTTCTTTTTAATCTAAACTGTAAAAAGGAAATACAGAAAAGTGGGTATGGCTGACTATAAAGCAATCCATCCATAAAATAAAACCCACATTCGGCTTCTGCAAAAAGTCGGCTTCTTTCTTCCTCCCAACCAATTTTTTCTCCAAAAGCAAAAGCCTTTTTTTTTTTTTTTTTTTTTTCCCGGGAAAAAGTGTTGAGAGTGTTTGTCCCACATTAAAATGTTAAGGGACCTAGCCTGGGTTTATAAGGAGTTGGGCTACTCCCCTCATTGCCAATTAGTTTTGGGGTGGAACCTCAACTTCCTTCATGGTATCAGAGCAAGGCTTCACGTGTTGGGCCCAACGGCCACACGTACTCCCACGTCACCCAATATGTGTTGTCCACGTGTTAGGCTTGAAAGTTCGCCACACGTGCGGGGGCGTGTTGAGAGTGTTTGTCCCACATTGAAATGTTAAGGGACCTAGCCTGGGTTTATAAGGAGTTAGGCTACTCCCCTCATTTCCAATTGGTTTTGGGATGGAACCTCAACTTCCTTCAAAAAGTTCACTAGTGAGAGAGGGCGAAGGATATAAAGAAAGTTACAGCGGAATTATGTTTGTTGCGTTTGCTCGCTCTGGAGACGAGACAGAGCATCACAGAGTTGGTCGTTTACCTAACAGATCTTGCAGGAGAGTTTTACGGAATATTAATTGGATAATTTAATCCATCCCAAGAGTTTTTCTCCATGATTTTTTTATTTCTTAGTTTTGGCCTATTATGAGCAGAAAGTCGACAGGGATATAATATTACTAATTTAATAACACTAAGTGAGATTAGCACTCGTAATTTCTGTAAAAGCTTAATACAAAGTTTTATCTGGTAAAACCAGATTATAAAAAAATAAAAACTTTTAAACCTGAAATCGAAGAAAGCTCACGGGAGAGGGTTTCAGTTTTCAGCTGGTGATGAAGTGAAGAGTAGAGACCAAGTGGCAATTGGTAACAACTTTCGGGATTATGATTTTTGTGGGAAAAAACTGACACGTGGCGCGGGGTTGTGCATGTGTTTCTGTGATGGCAATGATGTGGACAAGGTGCGCAGTGCGCACGTTGTATGTGGTTAGATGAGTGGGAGCCTTTGCGTTGCTTGCAGATGTCTGTCCTGTTACCTGTTAACCTGCAGGCTTTGCTTTGCCTTTTACCGAGGTCTTTTGGTGGTCTCCACACACCCCCCCAGTCAATGCTGATTGTGATCCAAAGGACCACCTCTTCTCTTCTCTTCTCATCTCATCTCATCTCATCTCTTGTGTAGGTGTATAATGTAATTTTTGCTGGCCTAATGATGGATTGTAGTGATTAAGCGATGATAATATAGATAAGGATGAAAGGAAACACCTGCTGCATGGATATTTAATTAGTTGAATTGCCTTAATTCCTTGAGCATTGTTGTTTTTTCAGATTAACTATAGTTAATGTGGTGATTAGGTACAGCAGCATGTGGCTGTGGAATAATTAAGTTGGCCATATGCTGTTTATACATATGCAGCTGCAGGGTAGGGTTACAGTTGCAGGCTTGTAGCCCTCAGCCTCATTGGACTAATACAAAACCCCAAGTATAATATGATGGTATCCAATGTCCCATGATATGGGCTTCATGGTATGATGAATAATTTTTGTTTGCCTATTGCTACCAAGTAGCTATAGGCCTTGCTGTCAATTATTTCCTAAGATGATAAAAGGAAACTTGAAACCATGTGTGCAGCAAACTCCATGAGCTAAAACTCTCAGTTAACCATGCTTTTATGATTGTGTACGGAAATTAAACAATGTGCTACTTGTGGTGAGAATCCATATCAGTATCAGTCTGAAAGCGGCTGTGTCTGTGGCTGCAAATTGTGAATGATATTGCAAATACCATTTAATTCGAGTACATAATTAATGAATTGCAGATGGGGAAGTTGGAGAGATGGTCTCTGGTTGAGGTTTTAATGACAAGAACCACACGAGACAACCCGATGTGTATGTTAAGCGATGCATCAAATGAAATCATATGACTACTTTCTCCCTCTCCAAAACCCATTTGAATTTATTTTTCGTTTTCTTTTCTTTTTTTCTTTTTCTTTTTTGGGCTTAATAAAGGATTAGGTTGACTATATTAAAGTCTGCAAATGGTAATTTCTGATTATCTGAGTGGAATGGGGACATAACAGGGAGGGGGCATAATGGCACATTTCCCAACGTATATTTATAGGTTTCTTCAGCGACCTCTTACCGAACTGAGATTTCTGAGAATTTTCCCAAGGCTGTAAGCCTGTAGGTGCCTTGGATCCATCATCACATTCACATACTGTGTTGTCCTTGCCTTGATGCGTTCAACTTTGAGGGCAAGGGATTTAGAAAATCTTTTTTTGTTTTTGGTTTGAGCAACTACTGAGAGCAAGTACAGGCTGGGAGAATGGGCCTATCTGGGCCCTACACGCATGTCATTGCCATGCTTGCCCCCACCCCACATACGATGGTCGATGTTACAGAAAGCCACTGCATACCAAACTGGGTCCAGCAACCAAGATATACCATATCCAGCTGAAAATGTTCTTGCAGGGCTTTATTTGTGTTGGGTGCGTGGGTACCATTTTGAGCCCACCAAACCATAACCAACAAGTGAACAAGGTATACACGTAGTTCCCAAGATAATATAGCCTCGTTTGGTGGGTCGGCTTTGATAATATTGAACAGGGATTCTAGCATTGGATAAGCCCAAGAATTCTATAACGAGAGCTTTATATATGGCCTTTAAATGAAGGGAGTTTTACTAATATACCCAAAATATGGGCTGAAATTATAAAAAAATTTCATATGGAATACACTTTAGAAACATACCTAAAACTCATTTACTACATAAGAAATTAGGGCCCGTCTGGTAATGTTTTCAGAGAGCATTTTCAGAGAATGTTTTCATAGAATGAAAACGAGAAAATGAAAACGCATTTTCAGAGAACAAAAACGTGTTTGGTAGCTTAGTTGAAAACTGTTTTCAGAGAACAAAAATAGTGAAAACACGTCTGGCATAAATATGTGAAAATGACAAACAATGAAGATGTATGTAACTTTAATTAAAATGCATTATGTTTTTTTTTAATACAACATTATGTAATCAATCTGTGAGTTTCAAAAAAAAAAAAAAAAAGACGTATATTATTTAAAAAAAATATTTTTTAAGCATCTTAAAGAATATCATTTAAAAAATAGAATAAAATTCTATAGTATAAAAACTAGAATTATCTTTTTAAAAAAAAATTGAAACCTCAACCTGACCTTCGCTTTCACTCTCTGCAAACTCACCTCAATTCTATCATTCCCCTCTCTCTCTCTTTCTCTCTCCCCCTCCAGATACCTCTCTCTCTTTCCAAAATTGAAGAATCAGACCAACCCCCTCTTTTCCACTTTCTCTTCATGCTGCTGCACCCTCTCTCTCTCCCTCTCTCACTGCAACCTCACCTTCCAATAGCTTCCCAGCTCCCTTTCCTTTTCTTGGACTGAAAATTGATTCGGCAATTAGTTGTTCAACGATGGTGGTTCAATTCAATTGTGTAGAGATTTTGTTGGGTTCGATTGAGTGGCGGTGACAATCTGGTTCGATGGGGCAGTGGTGATTTTGATTGGGTGATGTTGGTGGTTCAAGCTCTGCGTGTGATTCTTTGTTGGCAGCGTTTGACGGTGGTTTTGGTCTGATGGGGAGAGAAGCAACGTGTTTTCAGTGTTGTTTCCTGTGAGAATGAAAACAGCTTTTTTCTGTTTTCTACAAGTAGACGTGAAATTGTTTTTGTTTTCATAAAACGTTCTCTGTGTTTTCTGTTTTTGCCCACCGAACAGGTTTTCTGTCTGTTTTTGTTCTCTCAAAATGAAAATGGGCACTCAAAACATAAACGAACGGGGCCTTAGTGTTTAAGTTCTTATAAATTGCATGACTGCCATTGATCAACTTAAAAAAGAAGACCAACACAAAAAACTTAAATAACACCCAAAACAAGCCCAGCCCAATTTTATAAAAAAGCCCAAACAATTCATTACAAACAAAGGGTCTTGAAAACCGTAGTTTCATTAACGTGTCATGTTAATTAATGATTGTAATATTCTACACCTTTATTGTCATGTTGATTAATTGTTGTAATGTTCCAATTTAGGGTAATAACACTGCTCTGTCATGTTGATTAATAGCTAGTTTCCTATAACATCCTATTTCTAAGGCATGTATACCCCTATAATGTTCCAATGTAAGGTAATAATACTGTTAATTTCCTATAACATCCTATTTCCAATGCATGTTTACCCATGTAATGTTTTAGTGTAGGGTAATAACATTGCTAGTTTCCTATGATATCCTATTTCTAATGCATGTCTACCCATGTAATGTTCCAGTCTAAGGTAATAACATTGCTAGGTTACTGTCATGTTGATTAATGGATGTAATATTCCAATCTAGGATAATAACACTGCTAGTTTATTGTCATGTTGATTAATGGTTGTAATGTTCCAGTTTAGGATAATGACAATACTAGTTTCATATGACATCCTATTTCTAATGCATGTCTACTCCTGTAATGTTCCAGTCTAGGGTAATAACACTGCTAGTTTCCTATGACATTCTATTTCTAATGCATATCTACCCATGTAATGTTCTAGTATAAGGTAATAACACTGTTATTACCTATTACATCCTATTTATAATGCGTGTTTACTCTTGTAATGTTCCAGTCTAGGGTAATAACACTGCTAATTTACTGTCATATTGATTAATGCTTGTCATGTTGCTATTTCTAATACATGTCTATCAAAGAAAAGATGAAGAAATAACAAACCAGACCAACTCAAAACAAGTTGAGCCTAGATTATTAATACTATTATGTCATAGAAGTGTATTGTTAATACTTTGTCATAGAAGTACATTGTTAATACTCTGTCACAGAAGTATATTATTAAACAAAAATGAAATTCATAACTGAAATAGTAACAAAAGTTGAATCGATCATCAAAACTTAAAATACATTTTGAAAATCAACTAAAATTCGAAGAGAAACACATAATTAAAACAAAAGATCAAAAAATCTCAAGTTCAAACCAGACGATGACGATAACAACAACGACGATGTGGTGA